CCAGCACCACTCCAGACAACAACAACCAACACCACTACCAGACAACAACAACCAACACCACTGCAGACAACAACAACCAGCACCACTACCAGACAACAACAACCAACACCACTACCAGACAACAACAACCCACACCACTGCAGACAGCAACAACCAACACCACTACCAGACAACAACCAACATCACTACCAGACAACAACGACCAACACCACTACCAGACAACAACAACCAACATCACTACCAGACAACAACAACCAACACCACTACCAGACAACAACCAACACCACTACCAGACAACAACAACCAACATCACTACCAGACAACAACAACCAACACCACTACCAGACAACAACAACCAGCACCACTCCAGACAACAACAACCAACACCACTACCAGACAACAACAACCAACACAACTACCAGACAACAACAACCAACACCACTACCAGACAGCAACAACCAACACCACTACCAGACAACAACAACCAGCACCACCGCAGACAGCAACAACCAACACCACTGCAGATAACAACAACCAACACCACTACCAGACAACAATAACAATAAAACAACTAAAAAAAAAAACCAACCCTACGCAATAACCCAGACAGACTCAACTGTGAATTCACACTTCAGTAACCATACCCTTCCTTCCTTTCCTCCCTCCCTCCCTCCCGTCAGTACCTACCCTCCCTTTCCACCCAGCAGGACTACTGTTACTGCGTGTGACGTGTGGTTGTGACAGAAGGGGTGAGGCAAGAGACGTCAACACTGTAACAACTGGGGTTCGGGGTTCGTCACAATGCCCCCCCTCAGCCTCACAACTCTCTTCTTGGTATTGTTAGCCAGATTGTGTTTGGACTGTGTGGTGACTACCACGAGGGCTGGGGAGGGAGGCAGAGAGAGAGAGAGAGAGTGTGAAAGGGGTAGGAGGGAGAAAGGAAAGAAACAGGAAGAGGAGAAGATGGGGAGAGACAAAAGGGGAGGAAAGGAGGATGAGAAGAGGGTGAGGAAGGAGAAAAAGAGGGCTAAGTGGGAGAATGAGAAACTAGTGTGATGGAGAGAAGAAATATGTGTTGACTTTCTCTTTGTTTTTCTCCTTACATCTTTTATCTATCGTCTTTTATTCACTTTTTATATATATCTCTCTCTCTCATCTCTAGCACCGTTCCTCAAAGGGTCGTGAAATTTAGTTAGTGAGTCCTGATTAGGGCGTGTTTCTCCATGTACTGCATTTGTGTCTACATGTATGTATCTGTGTGCATCTCTATGTAAATGTGTATATGTGTGCACACGTATGTATCTGTGTGTACAAGTGTGCATCTGTGTGTACGTATTTATGTGTGTGTACAAATATGCAACTGTCTACATGTGTATTTGTGAAGTTATGTGAATCTAGATGTTCATTTCTTGTACCGTGTGTGTGTGTGTGTGTGTGTGTGTGTGTGTGTGTGTGTGTGTGTGTGTGTGTGTGTGTGTGTGTGTGTGTGTGTTCCTGAGGTAACAAAACACCTGGGCATAAGGGAAACAGGTGGAAATTACTGATAGGTGAAGACACTGTGATGACCAGGATTACCAGGAGGGTTAGAAGTGGTGGTGTGGGTGATGGTGATGCAGGTGTGGGTGGGTGGATTACATGGGTGGTGATGGTGATGTTGGTAGTATTAGTGTAGATAAGGCAGGTGGTGTGGTGGTGTTTAAGCGTAAGTGTTTGGGTGGTGATGGTGGTGGTAGTGTGATGGTGATGTTGGTAGTGGTGATGGTGATGTTGGTGGTGGTGGTGATGGTGATGTTGGTGGTAGTGGTGTTAATGTTGGTGGTGGTGGTGTTGTTGTTGTTGGTGGTGGTGTTGTTGGAGGAACGCTTCTGTTTCCTTTGAAGACACAAGTTGGAAAGTTGGAGAGTTGAAGGACAGGAGTAAGAGTGTTGGAGGATACGAGAGGTAGTAGTGGAGGAATGAACTGGTGAGTGTTGGAGGGACGCCGGGGGAAGAAATGATGCACAACAGTCTACTCCTGATGATGATGATGATGGTGATGATGATGGTAGTGGAGGGATAATCTACATAAAGGATTGTTACTGGTAGTGATGGTGGTAGTGGTGGTAGTAACTAATGGTAATCCCTTAATGCGAGGTGTACGGCGTCACACTACAATACCACCACGGGAGCTGAGGGGAGAACATGACAATGGCTCGCCCTCTCCTCCTACTCCTCCTCCTCCTTCTTCTTCTTCTTCTTCTTCCCCTCCTCCTCCTCCTTCGTCTTCTTCCCCTCCTCCTCCTCCTTCTTCCCCTCCTCCTCCCCCTTCTTCCCCTCCCCCTCCTTCTTCTTCCCCTCCTCCTCCTTCTTCTTCTTCCCTCCTCCTTTCCCTCCTCCTCCTTCTTCCTCCTCCTTCTTCTTCTTCCCCTCCTCCTTCTTCTTCTTCCCCTCCTCTTTCTTCTTCTTCCCCTCCTCCTTCTTCTTCTCCCCCTCCTCCTTCTTCTTCTTCCCCTCCTCCTCCTTCTTCTTCCCCTCCTCCTTCTTCTTCTTCCCTCCTCCTCCTTCTTCTTCTTCCCCTCCTCCTTCTTCCCCTCCTCCTCCTTCTTCTTCCCTCCTCTTCCCCTTCTTCCCCTCCTCCTCCCCCTTCTTCCCTCCTCCTCCCCCCTCTTCACCGTGACGTCAACCACCATAAGCACTATATTAACAACATACTCTGGGAGTTATAACTTAAGGTTGTAACGCTGGAAAAGTTCATGGTATTTGGGAGTTAGTTGTGTTAGTTGTTAAATTCGTAATCTATGGTATACTCTACCTATCCTAACCTAACCTATCCTATCCTAACCTATCCTAACCTATTCTAACCTAACCTTTCCTAACCTATCCTAACCTATCCAAACCTAACCTAACCTATCCTAACCTAACCTAACAAGGGAACTGTGACTATTAAGCGCGTTGGAAGGGTGACGAGTCGTGTTGTATAGTGCTGTAGCTGATGATGTGTTTTAATAGGTATATGTAATAGGATTGGTAGTGCTGTGTGTTTTCGTACGTACACACACACAGACACACACACACACACACACACACACACACATTTCCACGCTTTGTGAACGCCCTGGCGAGTGTGAAAAGCGGTAGAGCAGTAATTGAAAAGTGTCTGCCCTAAGTACGTAATTCTTTATGCAAATTCTTCAAAGGACTTTTGAGGGAGGGAGGGGGTGAGGTGTCGAGCCTAGCACCTCCCTTAGCCCTAGATAATTTATTTCAAGGCGGAATTTATGATTCTCCTGGATGTAGGGCAGGGGAAGCTCTGGTGGAGGTGTGCTCAGGGGGCAGGGAGGTGGTGTTCTGGGGACACGGGAGAAGGTAGTGCTCCAGGGGCAAAGTGGGGCTCTGAGAGTATATGATGGGGGGTGGTTCTAGGGGCAGGGGAAGGTAATGTTCACGGGGGTAAGGACGAGGGAAGATGTAAAGCCCCAAAAGGTGAAAATGAAAGCTGTTCTAGATGTTTAGTGATGTGTGTGTGTGTGTGTGTGTGTGTGTGTGTGTGTGTGTGTGTGTGTGTGTATCACCCTCTAAAAAGTCTTGTATTAGAGAATTACAGTATTATAGATATACACACTATACATAAATAAACATATATAATATATTATTTAATACAACAACCCTTATTTTTTATACCCTCGATAATTACTAACATGAATTAGTTATACTCCATTTTAATTTCGACTCTTAGTAAAGTTTGCTTGTTCCTGACACGATAGAAAACCCTCGGCCTACGATATAACACAATTATATAATACAACTTCATTTGCATACGGATCACCTGTGAGTGTTTTTTTACAACCTGTTATTACTGATGTCATTTCTATGTGATGATTTCGGGTTAAATTAAGTTAAAAGTGCTAAGTTAATGTTGGGTTAGTAATGTGGAGTGATTTGGGTGTTGGTGGATATCCGGAGTGATGTGTGTGTGTGTGTGTGTGTGTGTGTGTGTGTGTGTGTGTGTGTGTGTGTGTGTGTGTGTGTGTGTGTGTGTGTGTGTGATTCGCGCTCAGGTGTCTGCTTTTCAGGTGTGTTAATTAAGGCGTTTAAGAGAAGGTAGTGAGTGAGAGAGTCAATGAGTGAGTGAGTGAGTGAGTGAGTGAGTCAATGAGTGAGTGAGTGAGTCAATGAGTGAGTGAGTGAGTGAGTCAATGAGTGAGTGAGTGAGTCAATGAGTGAGTGAGTGAGTGAGTGAGTGAGTCAATGAGTGAGTGAGTGAGTGAGTAAGTGAGTGAGTGAATGAATAAATAAGTGAACCGATAACCACACACACACACACACACACACACACACAGAGTTAATGACGTAGACACAACCCCATGATCTGGTATAATTAGCCGTGTACACAACTAGCATAAAATGTTCAAATTGTTCATAGCTGCAGTTAACAAAAAAAAATGTTCCTGTTCCAAACTGTCCGAATCAGAGTTGAAATTGTTAATGTTTGTTATTATTAAAATACCTGATTCATAATAACATAATATCATGTGGACTCCATATATATTTGAACAATACAGTATTTTTCACAACTATATAACTGTACTCATTTACAAGAGCAAATATCATTAGTGTATATTTCTAAGACGAAGTTATTCTAAACTCTTTATTTTGATTTTGAATTTCAACATATAACTGTGTCATAATTCCCCCTTGAAGTGTCATAATCTTTCACCTTAAATGTGTCGTAACTCCCCCCTTCAAGTGCGTCATAAGTGCATCATATCTTTATAAGTCCCCCTTCAAGTGTATCATAACTCCCCCTTCAAGTGTATCATAACTCCCTCTTCAAGTGTCATAACTCCCAAACTCCCCCTTAAGTGCGTCATAACTCCCAAACTCCCCCTTAAGTGCGTCATAACTCCCAAACTCCCCCTTAAGTGCGTCATAACTCCCAAACTCCCCCTTAAGTGCGTCATAACTCCCAAACTCCCCCTTAAGTGCGTCATAACTCCCCTTTAAAATATCGAGATACTTACTTCTTTTCCCTTTTGCCAGCACCAGTGTCCCGGAACCCCTTAGCGAACGGATTGTTGTCAATCTTCAGTTGCGTGATCTGGAAATAGAAGGAAATACCTCAATTAGTATAGGTCATAAAGTCTTGATGGGTAGTAGTAGTGGTTGGTAGTTAGAATGATGGTGGCAGTAGTAGTAGTAGTAGTAGTAGTAGTAGTAGTAGTAGTAGTAGTAGTAGTAGTAGTAGTAGTAGTAGTAAGCATGTCGACTATGAGTAATTTTTTTGAATCTAATTACTGTATAGTCAAGACAAAGTAAAACAATGATGGAAAAAATAAATAAAATAACCTCTAAATAATAATAAATATTTCACAAAGACTTTAAAAAAATATATCTAGAACGACATAACTTCATTCAAACAAAGACAATGAAACAATGGAAACTCCTTAAATAAACCCAATCACTTCCTAACACACTCAGAACCATTTATTTTCCAACCTCTCCATCAATATTTGGCAACTATAAACTCATATAGTCTTTACACTCAATTTCAACACCCCCTATTACCAATTTCCAAACCTTTCTGTAATAATCTACACCAATATTTGAATACCATTACGTCGGCACCCATCCAAGAGGTGTGAAATTGGAATCGGGTTGAGATATTAGATAATAGATTTCTTTATAAGACGAGCGTTTTCTCTCACCCCACACGGAAAGGTCTGGTGGGAAGGTCATTGAAGAGGAAAGATATTATAGAACACAACTAAAGAGTTCTGATCACTGAGAAAAAAAAAATACTGGAATTAATCGGTCATGGAGACACACACAACACAAGAATCAACAAAGGAAATGAGATGAAAATCGACTATCCTATACTCTAATACTGTTGGTGATTTAGAGTGCCAACATCGCCTCTCCCGTAGTGCCACACGATCAACTATCTGGCACCATCATTCTTTCGGGTCAAGAAACATGGCACCAATGACGTTTAAAATTCTGACGTGATATTTAGCCATGTCAGGTTTTAAAGGGCAGTGTGGGGGGGAGAGTTAAGGGGTGTAGCTAAGGGGAGGTAGAGGAGAAGGGTGTATAGTTGAAGAGGGTAAAGTCTTCAGAATTGGGGTGAGGGGAGGGAGGGTGTAGGTAGGGGGTAGGGGGGGTCAAGCCCTATCTACTGACAAATAAAAAGAGCAACTTGGGAAGGCCTTTGTTGTCGTCTGTCAAGCTGGACGCGATAACATGCAAATGCCGCTGTCGACCGCTCCTACAAAAACACCAGTCGAGATGCGGTTCTGTTTTTGTTTAGGGAGGGGATAGAGGGGATGTGGGGAGAGGGAGGGAGGCTTCCTTGTTCCGGATTTCCGTGAATTCTCATGTAATTCTCTCCCCCTATTATTCCCCTTTACTCCCCCCCTCTTCCTCTTTATCCCCCTCTTGTCCCACGCCACCCTCCTCCTCCCCTACTTGTCAAACTCACCCACAGAAATGACGTTTTTTGGGGGTACTAATCTTTAATTACCACAAATATAGAGAAATCACTGAGATATATAGACCACCGCCAGCCTGTAGACGGTGTTTAATAAACTATTTTATCACCCCATCAAAGTTTCCCATTAAAATAAAATTTGTAGAATAATATAAGGTAAAGACTGGCCCCCCTCTCTCTCTCTCCCCTCCCGCCTTTCTTACTTAAAATTCAGTGAGAATAAAGATGATGAAATGGCTATAAAATATCATCGGCGGGAGAGTGTAATTGAATCATAACATTTGGGGTCGACCTCCATCCTCCCTACGACGACATGTGTCAACACTGTTCCCTCATCCTTATCCATACACGCGGCCACGACTACAGCCATCATCACCCTCCCCAAAACACGTGTAATATCTGTCTATACTCTTGTACTCAAACTCAAATGAACTCTTGATGTTAGATTCGAATGATATAGAGAGTGAAGTAATAATAATGGGAAATTTACTGATAACAAAGGATTTTTTTTTATCTTCTGTTTTTCAGGGTGTGAGGATCGGGATGAAGACAATTTGGGTAAAGAATACGACGCAGTGATCATTTCCAGCAAGTGTCAGTGGGGCGGCGTGAGCTCTGGCCTGCCTTGACTGACGCCCGCACCATTACCATCACCTCCCTCCCTCCCCTGCCATGCCCTCACCACATCATACACACGTCTCTAACCCCCCTCCCTTCCCCCCAATACACACACATGCACAGCACACTGACCCATACACACAGGACAGTGACCCATACACACAGAATACTGACCCATACACAAACGATACTGACCCATACACACAGGAAACTGACTCACACCTCCATATAGTGACACTCCGACGCATGGACCCACGCCATCTCATGTGGACAGTCGGACACAAAACCGACAAGACATGCTAACACAGACACACACATTCTTACTCAGATAAATGGGCATTCGGACACGAGAGAAATTCATCTGCGAACTACGATACAGTCACACGGACGCCCACACAAACATAGAGACACCCTGACACAACTCGAAAAGGTTCTACTCTACAGAATCAATTTCTTACCAACATTGTCATTTGATACAGTCTAGAAATTTCTATTGCTTATAGAGTCAATGTTAGACAACACATCTTGGTAAATGATACAAAAGCTCTCACAATCTAACAAAAGCTCTCACGAAAATCAAAACTTCAAAAGCTCTCACAATCAAAACAAAAGCTCTCACAATCTAACAAAAGCTCTCACAATCTAAACAGAATCTCTCCAATTTAAATAAAAGCTCTAACAATCTAAACAGAAGCTCTCACAATCCAAAAGTTCTTGAACTCTAATTAAACAAAACAAAAAGTAAACAAACCATTCCTCATGACACACACACACACACACACACACACACACTTACCTTTTCATTTTGGTAGGCGGTGACAGCAAGGAACTCGGTCTCCTTGAACACATAAGTCCTGAAGGTGGAGTAAGGTAACTTGAGGATATCGTTGGCCCGCACCAAGTGAAACCGAGGCTGGTACTTGTGCATGGAGTTGAGGATCGTCTGGAACAAGCGAGAGAGAAAGAGCTCGTTAATAGGGTGTAATTGGAGTTGGGTTTCGTGGGGTGGGGGTGAATAATGGCATTGGTAATTGGGTGTAATTTTTTTTTTTATATGGACGAGAGAGAGAGAGAGAGAGAGAGAGAGAGAGAGAGAGAGAGAGAGAGAGAGAGAGAGAGAGAGAGAGAGAGAGAGAGAGAGAGAGAGAGAGAGAGAGAGAGAGAGAGAGAGAGAGAGAGAGAGAGAGAGAGAGAGAGAGAGATTAAATTCTGCACAAATAATCTAAATATCACGTGAACATTACCACCACCACCATCACCTAATCTCACAAAACCAAGAATACTTCAACCTATGGTAAAAAAAAAAGAACAAGAATCATTGATAAGAGTAGAGGATAAACGTGATAAAGACAAGAAGAAAAAGAAGAAGAAAAAGTGATGCTGATTCCAAATTCATTGAAGAGGAAGAAGACAAGATTATCACCATTTCCTCCTCAAGGCAGAAGAAAAATATTTAACACTAGGAAAAATATCGACTCACTTAATGAATGTAAATACAATACGAAAAATACTGAGGAAATATCCATGACGCAGAGACTCAGACCACTATCTTGATCAAAGCCAAAAAATAAAATAAAATAATAATAATAATAAAAACCAAAGTTGGACAAATGCGAGGAAAAGGAAATTGTATTTTGGGAAGGGTTGGGTAAAAATACTTGTGTCAATTGTATTTCTATCTGGGATTGAAAGAATGATAAAAATAGGTCTTATATTCTAAGTTGGGATCAGTAGAATGATGGATTAGATCTAATATCCTAAGTTGGGATCAGTATAATGTTAAAAATAGAATCTAATATCCTAAGTTGGGACCAGTAGAATGATAAATTATATTTAATATCCTAAATTGGGACCAGTAGATTGATGAATTCTTTTAATATTCTAAGTTGGGACAAGTAGAATGATGAATTATTTTAATATCCTAAGTTGGGACCAATAGAATGATAAACCTAATCAAATATTTTAAGTTGGGATTATAAGAATGATAAAAATGATCCGGTATTTTACGCTAAGATTAATAGAACGACATAACATTTACATCAAAATGTAAAAAAAAAAAAAAAATTCTCTCCGTCAGTGAGTGAGTCCCTGTCAGAGCTAAACATAGACAAATTTAAAATACTCGAGTTTTAGCCAGACAACATTGAGGTCAGAAGAAGCCGCACACACACACACACACACACACACACACACACACACACACACACACACACACACACACAGTGGTTATTGAAGGAGCAGCTACTGGGGTTAGGTTAGGATGGTCAGGCAGTTAGAGTGAGTGTGTGGCATCCACTTGGCACTGATGACACTCAATAGGGCCACTGCTACTGTTGACCGTTCTCTCCTTCTCTCCCGTTTACTTGGGTTTCTCTGCTTCTCTCAGTATGACCCGGTTTTATTGATGGTCTTTCCACAGTGTGTGACCCGGTTATATTATTCTCTCCCAGTGTGATGCGGTTTTATTGATGGTCTTTCCTCAGTGTGTGACCCGGTTTTATTATTCTCTCCCAGTGTTACCCGGTTTTATGTGGTAGGAAATTGGTTTAATATTCCAGATAATTTTATAAGGATTTACATGATTCAGTTTTACAATCACGTACGATTAGAAAATTAGTTATTCTTACTTATCTTCTTATTCCTTCGTTTATTTAACAACCTTTATTCCCATGTCTCCGTTTCTGTATTTATTTATGTTTGTGTTTATTACGTATTTCCTATATTCGTTATCGTATTGTCGTCTTTTTTCCCTTATCTTTCCTTTCTCCTGTTTTTTACTGTCTCTTCTCTCTTTTTATTATCTCTCTCTCTCTCTTCTCTTCTTTTGTTCGTGAATTGGTCTAACCTTGGTGTCTATTCCTATGTATATTCTATTTTTTCCCAGTTATTTATATTCTTACATTTCCTTGTTTGTCTCTTGTTTCCATGTCTCCACGTCTATATGTGTCTGTGTTTTTGTTTGTTTGTTTCTTCAGCAACTAGTGTGTAGGTGTTTTTCTTGTTACACCCACGTGCTTTTTTTGTGTTTGTATTTGTTTATCTAATTCGGTTTATTTGTTTTCATTTGGGTTTGTTTTTTGTTTGTTTGTCTCTGTGAATGACGTGGTATCTGAGGGATGATTAGGACATCTTTCTGGACACCAAAGACACTATCCTCTCTTGGCTAATTGGGACACCCTGCATAGGTTGATCACGATGCCCATGTCAGCGCTGAGGACATCTACGGGTGTCCTTAATTAACTAGGACACCCCTTTCCCCCTTCCATGGATACTCAAACTTAATCCCCGAAGGCGTCCTAGACTGATGAGGACACCCAAGATAATAATAACCCTGCAGGACGCCCCAAAACAACCCTCTGAAGATGTCCCTGGCTATAGTTAGGACACCCTGTAAGCCCAGTCCCTTTCTTCCCCCACCGCCCCTCCTCTTTAGGGCCGCCCGCCAGGACACACTACACAGCCAATTGGCCCTAAAGACCCCTAGTTAACGAGACCACGCCCACCCTCAGACCAGCCCTACCATTTAGTTTCAATTGGGTCAGATCAAGGCGTAAGGTCTTTCACTCTTCCCCCATTTTCTCTCGGTCCAATTTTCTCATTTCAAATAATCTTATCCTCTAGACGTGTGACCCGCCGGGAGGAAGGATGGTAGGAGGCCACGGAGGATGCCCTTGTCTCCTATAATGTAACCCGCCAGGAGGCCACGGAGGATGTTTTAAGTCTCCTATAGTGTGACCTGCCAGGAGGCCACGGAGGATGTCTTAAGTCTCCTATAGTGTGACCCACCAGGAGGCCACGGAGGATGCTTTGGTCTCCTTTAATGTAACCCGCCAGGAGGTATAAAGACATAAGAACACGGAGAACATCCAGATCTCCGCTAAGTCGGGAAAATATTTTGGAGACACAGACAACATTACCATATCTCCAGAGGTAAACAAACTGTTCTAGATGTAAACAGTAAACTCAACTCTTAATATATCATCATCAATCTCCACAAACTGTATCGCGTTAAACAATACCACAGGATAGTTAAGGAACGCATGAAAATAAAAACTGGAATGTATAAAAGTCTCTTAAAATTTGTGTTTACATTCTGATTCGCAAAAATAAACCAATTAACAAACAAGATACCGATCTTTATCTCTAGTTTAGTCACCCTGATTAGGAAAAAATCTTCATAATATTTGTTTATTCGAAAAAAAAAAACATTATCTGTTTTTAAATGTTTGTTTACTAATTTATAGAAAGGAATAAAAAGGGAAAAAATATTGCAAAATTTATGATGTTTACAGAATACCAAGACTCTCCATCTCTTCCCCCCCCCCACGTAAAAAAAACAACAATAATAAAAAAATTCTCATTCGTCATTTTTTATACGAATGAGATAAAAATAAAATAAAATCACAAAACTACATTTTAGTTTTAATTTTCTTCCAAGATAAATAACTAACGAAGATAAAACAAAACTCTAAACTAAACACACAGGAAAAAAAACCCATAAAACCTCTACAAAAAGTAACGACTTGATTTTCCTCAACTAATTCCACTAATACATATTTTATTGCCCTTGAACCCGTCACTATACAAGACCTCCCACACGAGATAATGATTCCTTAATGTATTTCCTCTCAGTGGACAATTTTCTCCCCAAACTGAATGTGCGGTCAAATATAACCAATTCTCTTTATATTTCCCACTGATGTAAGAACTGGTATCAGAAGTTAGCGTCAGTCAGGGGTTATACCATGGAGGGGCGAGGCGTAGAGCGTTGGTTTATGGGAGCCTTGGCGATGAATTTGGTCACGTATTTATTTAATTTTTTTCTGTTCATGGCGAATATTTTTATCTTGCTGACGTGGGCGAGTGAGTACGTCCAGACATACATAAGTACATATACCCCCCCCATGTACATACACGCACGTACACACATACAAAGTACATTTAAATCAACTTAATGCCTGTGTGGTTTTTGAGTTAATACGCTCTGGGAATGAAATTTGAAGTGGACGAAAGGACGGACGGAATGATAGACATGGAAACGGACGGAATGATAGACAAGGAGACGGACGGAAGGAAGAGAATAACACAACACGTTAGCAATAGGATGGAAGAGGAGGATGAAGTAGGAAGATGGAGTCATAAGGAAGGAGACAAAAGGAGAATGAGGAAGAGGAGGAGGTGAAAGAAGACGACGAGGAGGAGAAAGAGATCTAAGAAGTAAATAAAATCATAAGGGATGGAACAAAAGTAGAAGAATAAGAGAAGAAAGAAGAGGCAGAAGAAGGAAGAAGAGGGAGAAGGAGAGGAGGAAGAGGAGGAAGACGAGGAAGAGGAGTCATAAGAAGGCAAGCCACGGGATCATAATAACAGGCCTGGCCCACAGAGGCGCCTCCGACAATAGCGGGGAAATTTGGGGCCGACGCGACCTGCAACCTCAAGTAAGGGGAGGACCACGTGCCCCTTGTAGATGGGTGATGGTGGGGAAGGGGAGGAGGAAGAAAGGAAGACGGGTGGGGAAGGGAAGTTAAGTAGAAGGGAGGGTGGTAGGGAGGGAGAGTAGAATAGGGAAGGGGAATTGGGTGGGAAGGGGGAGATAAGTTGGAGGGAGGGAAGAAGAGGAGGACGTGGGGAATGGGAGGAAGTGGGGGAGGAAGGGGGTGGAGGGAGGGAAGAAGAGAGGAGGAAGGAATGGGGGAATTGGGTGGGAAGGGGGAGATAAGTTGGAGGGAGGGAAGGAGAGGAGGACGGGTGGGGAAATGGGAGGAAGTGGGGATGGAGGGAGGGTTGGGAAGAGGAAAAGATAGGAAGGAGGAAGAATGGGAGGGAGAAGAATAGAAAGGGAAGTGATGGAGAGGAAGGGGAAGGGGAGGGAAAGAAGGTAGAAACAGGCAGAGAGGCAGGCAGGCAGGCAGGCACACGATCCTTGAAAAAACCTTCAACTGACAGGAAAATTGATTCATTGGTACATATCTGAACAACAAAGACGAGGGAAAAAAATTTAGTCCAGAGACGATTGGACAGAAGGAACGTAGCACACACACACACACACACACACACACACAACTTCGCCAGACGCCACTAACCCTTGATAGATCTACTGGAACATGAAAGAGTCGTCTCGTCATCACGCATATTGAGGGGAGAAAACCGTACAATAAAATACTCCTCTCCCTCTCTCTCTCTCTCTCTTGATGTTTAAGAGGGAGGAAGAGAAATAACACAGAAGAAGAAGAAGAAGAAAGAAAAAAGAAAAGAAGAAGAAGAAGAAGAAGAAAAAGAAGAAGAGAAGAAAAAAGAGACCCACTGGAAATCCCTCCCACCCTCCCTCCCTCCCCAAGGTACAGTAAAAGAACCTTCCCTTCCATCCTAGATTCCTGCCCTCTTCCCAGGACCTCTAAATCCGATCTAGGCAACATGTTTACATATTGAACGCCATTAATCCCCAGGGCAGGGAGATCGCACAGATCCCAGAAGCTAAAGAAAACCCCACAAATTCCTCCCCAAAAAGAGTCAAGCTTTCTCAATCACACAGACGAACCACCTTATTTATGTGGGCTTGGTGCAGGTGGGGAGAGAATGGGGAGGGAGGAAGGGAAAGGAAGGAAGGAAAGGGAAGAAGGTATGGGGGGGGAGAGGGGAAGAGCAGGGGAGAGAAGCCTGGGTTAAGAGAGAATGAGAGAGAGAGAGAGAGAGAGAGAGAGAGAGAGAGAGAGAGAGAGAGAGAGAGAGAGAGAGAGAGAGAGAGAGAGAGAGAGAGAGAGAGAGAGAGAGAGAGAGAGAGAGGGAGACAGGGGTGGAAAAATGAGACAGAGAGGGAGAGGGAAGGAAGGGGAGGGAGAATGTTGAAGTAATCTAGTTAAGAATGAAAAGGATTGATTTAATAAAACAAGTAACCCTATGTGGAAGGGGAGGGAAATTACTCTGGAAGAAAAAGTACTCTGGAAGGGAAAGTACTCTGGAAAGGAAAGTACTCTGGAAGGGAAAGTACGCTGGAAAGGAAAGTACGCTGGAAGGGAAAGTACTCTGGATGAGAAAGTACTCTGGAAGAAAAAGTACTCTGGAAGAAAAAGTACTCTGAAAGGGAAAGTACAATATAAGAAATCAACCACCTTATGTTGTTTGAGAAGAAGTGGAAGGAGGAAGAAGAAGAAGAAGAAGAAGAAGAAGAAGATGAGGAGGAGGAATAAGAAGAGAGGGAGATATGCAAATGGGCAAGAACTAAAATAAACCGGGAACAGAAGGAAGAAGAAGAAGACAGAAGAGAAGGACAGAAGAAAAGGTAGGAGGAAGGTGCATGGAATAGAAAGAAAACCAAGAGGAAAAGAAAGAGGAGAACTAGGAAGCGAACGAGGAGATAAAAGAAAATAAGAGAAGAGATAAAACAAAATGGCTGGAACAGAACGTGGAAGAGAAAGAAGATGAAAAGAAGCAGGAACGGAATGTATAAGAGGAAGAGTAACAGGAGGAGAAGAAGAAGGAAGGGGAGGAGGAGCAGAAGAAGGAAGGGGAGGAGGAGCAGAAGGAAGGGGAAGAGAAGCAGAAGAAGGAAGGGGAAGAGGGGCAGAAGAAGGAAGGGGAAGAGGGGCAGAAGAAGGAAGGGGAAGAGGGGCAGAAGAAGGAAGGGAAAAGGGGCAGAAGGGAAGAGGAGCAGAAAAGAAGGAAAGGGGAAGAGGAGCAAGAAGAGAGGAAGGGGAAGAGGGCAGAAGAAGAAGGAAAAGGGGCAGAAGGAAGGGGAAAAGGGGCAGAAGAAGGAAGGGGAAGAGGAGCAGAAGGAAGGGGAAGAGGAGCAGAAGAAGGAAGGGGAAGAGGAGCAGAAGAAGGAAGGGGAAGAGGGGCAGAAAAAGGAAGGGGAGGAGGAGGACAAAGAGGAAGAGAGAAGAGAAGGCAGCAGCAGCAATCTTCCTCAGATATCATGATAAAAGCTCAA